GGCCCAGAAGTGGGACATACCAAAGCGGCAGTCCCTAGGCCGTGAACTCATTGGTCCGTGGTACCCGAGGGAGCATGGACCCCCTGAAGCACCCTAGGACCGAACGATCCTTCGGCAGACGCAAAGGCATCGAGCCGATAGTGCTTGACAAGTGGTGATGGTAACAGGGGACAACCTGGATCCTGTCATTATTTCATTATAGTCAAATGAAAATGGAGGTATGATGATGGTAATATGTATAAAAATATCTGATTTAAAATACTTGAGTTAATATAAATTTTGTGACGACAGTGGAAAAGACACACGAAAGCTTTTTATAAACAACTGACAGACTTTCTACAGTATGTAAAGAAGGAGGATTCTTTTTGTTGTATTTCTTTTGAAAATTTAAAATAAAAAAACTTTTAATTAATTTTTTTTTATTTTGATTTTAACTTTATTTGTATGCCGCCCTTTTCCCTGGGGGGACTCAGGGCAGCTCACAATTCAAGGGGAGGGGAAGTACAATACAGAGGTCCTCTCTGACGACCGACAGGGCCCCAGCTCGGACATCCTCCTTGCAGGTCTTTTGGCGACCAAGAAGGCCACCTTCAAGGTCAGGAACTGCAGGGAGACCTTTCTCAGGGGCTCAAAGGGGGGATCCATAAGTGCCAGAACAACTGTGGACAAATCCCACGATGGGAACCTGTGAACTATGGGGGGGACAAAGATTTGCCGCCCCCTTCAAAAACCTCTTCACCACAGGATGGTGGCTCAGACCCTCCCGACCGTCCAGCACCAGGATGGTGGACAAGGCCGAAACCTGCCTATGAAGGGTGTTATGGGACAGGCCCCTCTCCAGCCCGTCCTGGAGAAATTCCAGGATAGCAGGCAGAGATGGGTGCCTGGGATTCACCCATGCCCTGATCCACTGTGGCCCTGCTCAGCCAATCCACCTGGTGATTTGCTTCCCCGGAGATGTGTTCTGCCTTGATGGACAGCAGGTGTCTCTCTGCCCACAATCCGAGACGTTGAGACCCCGCCCAGAGGGCCCTGGAATGAGGGCCTCCCTGCCTGTTTACATACTTGCCTTTGCAACTACATTGTCTGTCAATAGCAGGATGTGTCTATGCTCTACAAGGGCCTGAAAGCATCGGAGGGCCAGATGAGCCGCCCGCAATTCCAGCCAACTGATGTTATGAGTAAGGTCTGAAGGGGACCAGCGGCCCTGTGCCAATTGTGTACCCAGCAACACCCCCCAACCATAAAGGCTGGCATCCGTGGTCAGGGTGAGCCTTCCCAGCTCCCTGAACACACAGGGGGGATGGAGAGGAATTCCAGCCAGAGGCCAAATCTCACCCACAGTATTGCCAGGCCCAGGCGCCAGCTTATGCCTGTGATCCAATCTGGGGGCAGCATCCAGGCAAGCAAAGGTTGACACTCATCATCCATGTCCTCCACCTCCGAAAGGGGTGGTGAAATAGAACTGGCCCTTGGGGACCCAGAGAGGCTCGGGGGGGGGGAAGAGTGGTGCCGCCCTTAGAAGGGTGGGGGGGCTTATCTCCACCACCCTGCCCCTTTGCCTCCCTGCTTGGAGGTAGATTGCTTTTTCAGGGTTGGAGGATCTGATGAGGAAACCTTCCTCTTCCTGGAGCTTTTGGAAGGAGCAGCATGTTCCTTTTCCTTCTGCACCGCTCCAGAGGGGACCATTCCCCGGGGGAATCGGTCATCGTAAATGTGAAAAAAGCAAACACACTAGAACCAGGCCCTGCGACTGCTGCTGAATCTGCGACCTTCTCCACAGATACCGGCAATCGCAATGAGCCACGTGGCTGAAAAAGGTGCAAACAAAATGGCCACCACCTTGTGGCCACCAACAAAATGGCCACCGCCATGAGATCCTCCCCAAAATGGCCACCACCATGAGGTTCTATATTCACGTGGAAAGCCATGCAACCAAGTCTGGTGTTCCCGGCAAGGAAAAAACAGCCCCGAGAGCTCCGGATCAGCCGTCCCGCTTCGCCCACAAGCCCTGCAGAAGTACCAACACTCTGACTGCACTCCCCTCGCCTGTCGCATCGTTGGCAGCCCGCTATTGCCTCTGAGAACCAGCGGCAAGTCAGAGCCTCTGAGGGAGCTCACAAATAGGCGACCACAATGGGAAAATGTAAAAGGACACCGCAGTAAAGTTCCGATAGCCAGCGCAGCCAGCAGCACCTTAGTAAGAAACCTCCGGTAAAAGCCTCCAACAGGCCCCCGGCTCTAATTGTCTCAGACACAAACCGAATATGGTGAAAAAGAACTTGTGAGCCAAGTCCCCCACCATCCATCAGTCAAAGCAAGAGAGAAAAAGGTAACTTAAAGGAAAATAACACTAAAACTAAAATACTAACTCACAGCAATGAAAAAATGCATCTCTTCTTGGGCAAGACTGAGTCGGAATTGGAAGTCAGCAGGGGAAGCTGGAGGCGTGGCTTCAATTCTGACTCAGTCTCTTGGGCAAATAAGGGTTATTGAACTCCCACTTCTGGACCCTCCTGCATCATCAGCTGGAGAAAGGCACAATGAGATCTCTTCTCTACCTGCTTCCTCAGAAATTCAGTCTGAGTGACTTAGGCCAATACTTCAGGGACCAATTGCCCCCCCCCCCCCCGTTCTGCCATCTTACAACTAGAAATAGATTTAGTACAACTAGAGACAGAGGTTTTGTTAACTATACTTAACTCCTGGCCAACCCATCACTTTTCCTTGTTTGCTCTCTTACTCTCACAGCATGGATGGTTTCCAACAGAAATGGAATTGCAAGAGATCCTTACAACAAGCTCTCTTTCCCAGGGTTTACACCTCCTGACCTCCTACTTTCTCAAGAGTGAGGCAGGGGCAAGCCCACTCCCCATAAGCAGCACAGCATGGATAGGGAACGACAGACTGATCTAAGCAGAGTCCCAAATCTCTTTAAACCCAGACATAAACGTTAATACCTGCCAAGTACTTTTCACAGATAACAGGCCCTGCTCACAGAAGGGAAAATTTTGGCTCATTGGAGCAGTCCTTTTAGTGCTGTTGGAGGGAAAATGCAAAACAAAAAACCCCTCCCTTTTGAATGTTTATGCTCCAGAGATCAGAGACTGATGAGAGACAATGGAGCACGTTTTTGGTTCTGCCCATTTCACACGGATCTTCATGTCAGTGTCCTTAGTTTTTCCAATTGCACCTTGATAGCAATTCTTCCAAAGGGGCAAAAACCTCAGGAGTCTGAAAGCTTCATATAGGACTAAATATTGATATCTTTGTTGGTGTACAGCTACTAAACGTTATTCTCCTTGAGCAGCAATAGATAAAATGGCCTTTGTCCTACTTTTACTTGGCAGCTATGGAAGACTGTGATCGATTTCATTTTAAGCAGCTTAACTGAAGCTGACTTCTTCTGCATTTTTTCTTAGATTGTGCTCCAAATTCTATCTTTATTTCACGGCGGTGCTGATACTCTTATCTTAGGTAGCCCGGTTTTTATCAGCCAAAGGCTGCCCAGCTTACTTTAAGTACTGGAGATGGAACCTTAAGTAACCAGCAGGGAATGAATCCAATCAGCCCGAGCCTTCTCTGTATCTCTTATCATGGGATGTATCAGCTCCTCCGGATGGAGCAGCCATGAACTGCTTCCCGATTCCCCTTGCAGGATTTGTGCTGAGCCTCCCAGCGTGACCTCGTGGTCACCTCCCGCCCACCTGACGTGTTACCTTCGTGCCTTCCAATACCGGGGCCGTATCTGTCAAAACCTCTGACTGCAGGGCTACATTCACTTTTGCCGGTTCTCGTTCAGCAGTGGCATCTAGAGAGACTTTGTTCAGAGCTGAGGAATCCAGATCTACTATCACCTCCTTCCGGAACACAGGAAACACAACAATTAGACACATTTTAAACAGAGGATTTCACACTGGGGGTCGCTAGAGGGATGCCTGGAGTTTCCACGAGCGCTTTTGGAAGAAGAATCCCAAAGCCTTATTTGGCTTGTCTCTCTTTGCTTCGTTTGGAGGATTCACATCCTGCCCTTCCTCCAAGAGCTCTCAGCATGGCATCCATGTCGCTGCCTCCTCTTCCTCAAAACCTTACGCCTTCCTTACTCACCCTTTCCGCCACGTGAAGAGTCTCTTTGGCTTTCTCAGCCGCTTCCGAAAGCTTTTCCAGCTCTTTCTCCTGATGTTCTTTCCTGATGGCCTCCTCTTCTTGGAGAGTCGCTTCCAATCTGGCTTTATTGTCAATCTTTTCTCCTTCGACTTCTGCCGCTTTCACCTGAGCCTCTTTTGCCTTTTTTATTTGGAAAAAACAAAAGGAAATAAAATGTATACGTACAGGGAAAGAGGACTTTCCCAGAGCAGTGGTTCCCAAACTTGGCAACTTTAAGACTTGTGGACTTCAACTCTCAGAATTCTCCAGCCAGCTCTGCTGGCTG